ATCCTTGCACCAAGCTCCCACATGCCTGTTTGCCCAGTGGGGATGTATGACTCCCCAGGCCATGGGCAAAGTGAGGCATGACTCAACAGTCTAGGCAAAGGCAGAGCCAGCACCACATGTAAAGAAGTGGCCTGTCTCCCCCCAGGAATGTCTCATCAGTCTCTCCCTCCCCCTCTAAATAGTAAAGGCCCATGTCCTTGGAGCCTCTCCCATGGCTCTGTGCAGTGAGTCACACACTAAGTCACTAACACACACTAAGTACTTTACAGTTCACACTGGGACCTCTCCCCACCTTGGTATCATGTACTTTTTGGGGGGTAGGGGGAGTTACAAATTTGTCTTTTGCACCCTAGGATCCTTAGCAGCTTGTCAGGCCTCTACCACTAGATACCAGTAGCACACCAGCTGACCACCAAATGTCTGTAGACACTGAGTGTCCCATAGTAGCAAAGCACCCCAGGCCCCTGAGGAACAGTGGTTTCAAACTACTTAGACCATACTATCCCACCTTCCTCCCTTTACCTTCCAGAGCAGAGGTGTGTGGGTTCCAACCACACTTCAGAGGCCCAGAGAAAGTGACTTCCCTAAGGAACAACTTTCTCTTACATGTCCAAGTCTCACCATTTTCATCTATGTAACCATAACCATCTTCTGTGATGTATAACATAGCTATGTGGCTTCAGTGGCTTTGGGAGGTCAAGGCTGTGTGGCACGCATACCTGAGTATCTGCCAGGTCATGCGTGCTCAGTTACTGATGGATCAGTGAAAGGGGCTCGGTCACCGAGGGTTGGACTTTGTCAAATAGTAGCCACCTTCAGAGGCCTGGGGTAGGAAGGAGACCTGTCTGCTCTACTCCCCCAAGATCAGGTGATACTAAAAGTCCTGTGGTAGTGCAGGTCTGCAGGCCCAGCCCTCCCTCCGTAGCTAGGGCAGACCCTCACAGCCAGCTTGAATTTTTCCCACCCCTCCACATAGGGCGGGGTGGGGGTGGGGGGGGACCAGAACTAGGCTCTGCCCGAGGGGTTTGCTCAGGCGGCAACCAGGACCCAGCTGTCTTTGACTTTCTTCCCTCAACCCTGGATTAGCAATTGAGCAACTCAGCAAGCATCTGACAAGACAGTGCTCCCCAAACCTGTTGAAACTCGCCCAACTCCAGCCCTGTGGGTGCGCTGGAGAAACTAAGCCTTTGCAACAAGCCTCAGCCTCTTGTTCCTTCCTAGAGAAGAAGGGCTGAAGGCTGAGCCAAGCAGGCACAGATTAATGGGGAGCCAGCCGCTGGCAGGGGTGACAGTACCCACCACTGGCCCCTCAGATCACCTCTCTAGCTAGCTTGCAAGAGCTGCTCTTGGTTTGCTTTGTAGGCACAGCTGGAAGGCGGAGCTGCGACCCTGTTGCTTCCCGGATTTCCACAGGAGTTGCCAGGTTTTATCTCTGAGTCCTGAGCTACATCTTCTGTGATTCAGCCAGCCCTGGGAGTTCGCTCCCCGCCATGACCCTTCCAGCTCCCCTTCCCTTGTAGCCCCTTTCCTCCTCCCCCAGTTTCTGGCAAACTAGAAACCAAACTATGTTTTAGTAGAAGTTTCCCCTCGGAGTCAGAACCCCTGCAGCTCTGGAAAGGAACCTGGTCTTCACAGAGAGGAAGGGAAGTGGGAGAGAAGGAAGCATCCTCGACCCTGTCTTCTGGAGGGGAGGAACCTCCCAACAGCTCACAGGCAACCTTGGAGGGGCCCATTCTCAGCAGGGGACTAATGATGCTGGAGAGGACCCTCTGTCCTAGGACTCAATTCAGCACTAGCCCTACAATCCCAGGAAGACGTCCCAGAAGCTTCTCCCCAAAGCTGCAGAGAGTGGAGTATCCCTTCCTGAAGTCACAGGGGCCCCACTGCCATGGCACCTCTAGCTTTAAGGACCAATGACAGACGTCACAATTGGGGACTTCTCAAGGACCCTGAGCTTTCATGTAGAGGAATGCTGAGCATGCGCCTTTGAACATTTTGGGCACTGTGCTAGACTCTGAGGCCCCCACAGCTGACTTGTAGAGCAGGAACACGACCCCAGATCTCTTGCCTTCTTCCCAGAACTTGCCCTGCCGCAGATGATAGATCTACAGATGAGCAACTAAGGCAAGGAGGAACTGAGGTTTGCCCACCTGCCCTGAAGGGTAGGGCCACGGCTGGAGGTTCAGCCACAGGCTCCCCTGAGACTGGGCTAAGGCCAAAGAGCTCCCTGATAACCATATCCTGAGCTGGGATTCTCCCTGGGGCTTTCTCACCCCTCCCCATCCCCAGGCTCCCTCAGCCAGCTGGGAAGCCTGTTTCAATGCATCAGGGGCCACATGGCACAGAAAGATCTCTAGGGATCTAAGGATTGGGAGCTTTCTGCTGCCAAATGAGAGGGCAAGGTGAGGTCAGGAAGTGCCTTAAACTTGACAGCCACTCACCTCAGGACACCTGTGTCAGGGAGAAGAGAAAAATTCTTACATTCTGGCCCAGGTTCAGGGCTGAATGGCTTCTTCTCAGCCCCCAAGTCAGCTCCTTTAGAAGACAGAAAATGAGAATTGAGGGGGCAACCCCCCCAACTGGAAGGAGGGACTGGAGCCCTCAGGAATAAAATGCTCACTCAGGAGATGGAAGCAGTTCAAGGCCAGCCTCAGCTACATAGTGAGTTCAAGACCAGCCTAAGCTATATGAAACTGTCTCAAAAATGGGGGCAGGGGCTAGGAACATAGCACAGTGTTGGAGTGCTTACCTAGCATGCAAGAGGCTGTAGCTTCAACACCCAGTACTGCAATCCGTCAGTCAATCAATAAATATTTAAAAGGAAGGAAGGTGGATGTTGAGGCTTCGAAGGATGGGAAGTAAAAAATGAGAGATCCCAGGAGACAGGAGGAGGGAGAGAGGGTCAAAAGGTGCAGGAGAGGGGCGTAGGCTCCAAGGATGCCAGCATTTCTCTCCCACTGAGGAAATGCACATGGGGTCTAGTAGATGCACCCTTGGCATTGAAAGAGGCTGGCTAAGGCTGGAAAGAAGGCAAGACAGTGGCGGCCCACCACCCAACAGACCACCACCAGCATCTCAGTGCTGGCCACTCCCTGCCGGCTGCCCTCCCAGGTTTCTAACCAATAGTAGTACCTCCTTCTAGTGATTCCAATGGGTACAGAGACCACAGAACCAGGCAACACTGGACAACAGCCAAATAACCACAGGGACTTTGCCTTCTCCGCATTCCTCACACCTAACAGCACTCTAACGCCCTTGCTGTAGATACCAGGCTCTAGAAAGAGCCATCCAGAGAAGAATCAGGCCACCTTGCTCAGGCAGTGTCTGATGATATCAAATGGTCCTGCCCTGCAAGCCCCAGGCCATCTTTGGAACCTGAGCAGCCAGCCCCAAGACCCAGGAGCCAAAATACCCTATTGTCAAGTCCTGACCCCCACTGACTGGCTTGAATAGGTCATTGGAACATCAGTGCTCCAAAGGGAGGGGATGCCCACCCAGACAGCCCTGCTGGGTGGTGACATGAATATGCTAAGGCATGTGACACTGACAGATGGCACAGGTGACAGGTGAGGTTAACAGCCATGCTTACGGTCATTTGCTTCCCCAAACAGGGCTTGGACACGGGTCCCCAGCTCTTGATCTCCTTATGGCAACCTCCCTCTTCACCATCCCTCACCCCTGATGGTGGAACAGTCAGACAGATAGTCCAGAAGCACTGAGGACATGTTCTCAAACTTTGCAAACCTACTTGGGGATTCTCTCCAAAATCTACAGTTGGAATTTTATCACGGTGACCTATCATTCCCTGGGGAGGGTGTGCAGCTCTGTGAGGGCTGAGAGGATCCAGGTCAAGACAAACGTGCAGAATCCCACAAGGTCTAGCCAGGTCTAGCAAAGGGTACAGTGTAAGAGACCCTGGAGGACATAAGATGAGGAGGATGGGAAGGACCATGGAGAATGTTGGGAATTTGCCAGTGCTGTGGCCTGGGACATATTTAGTTTATTTCCACCTCCTGAAGTGAGAATGACTGGTCCTCCATTGTACAGATGTGCAGGCCAAGGATCTAAAATGTTCACTAACTTGCTTCAAGTGATACAGAGATGGGAATCTGACCCAGGCTGTTTGTCCCCCAAGTGCATGTCCTACCATGCTGCCTTCCCAGAGGAGGGACAAGGGGACTAGGTCACAGTGGAGGACGGGACAGCAGCTACTTAACCTGTGCTTAAAGAAACAGCAGGTGAGCTGGGCGTGGTGGTGCGCACCTTTAATCCCAGCACTCGGGAGGCAGAGGCAGGCGGATCTCTGTGAGTTCAAGGCCAGCCTGGTCTACAAAGTGAGTTCAAGCCAGCTGGGGCTACAGAGAGACCCTGTCTCAAAAAGACCAAAAAACAGCAGGTGATCTGAAATGACCGGGATGTGGGGGGTGGTGTGACAAGGGTCCTGGGGCACTGCACACCCTTCCAAACTCCCCAAGCACACCATCCAGGGTGAAGTCTGTAGGCCTCTTGCTTCCACCCAGCTGAAGGCAGCACAGCACTCTGCGGATACTCGGTTTCCTTCCGGCACCCCCTCCTGCCAGTTTGGCCTCCTTCCTCCCTGGTGTGGCGGGCACAGCCACTCCTGAGGAGGCTCTAAATGTGGCCTGGGCAGGCAGGGAGGCCAAAGGGAGGGGGCAGAGAGGACTGGGCTGGTGTCCCAGCCCCCACCTGGACATTGCAGGGCCAGGACCAGTGCCACTGACCTGGTTGGCTCCCCACCACTGAGGCTCTTTCCCTGCCCCCCTCCTCTAGACACATAGGGAGCGCCCCGGAAAGAGCCACTGAACTGCAGATTCTACTCTACAAATTTGTATATTTTATTTTAAAAAAAAAGCAAGCAAACCTGGAAAAGCTTGGGACAAGCCCAGCTAATTTTAGTTTCTAATGAAAACAGCAGGTGGCCGAGAGGATCTGATCTCCCTGGCAGGGCCAGGGCCCTCCGGCCTCCTCACGGGCTGCAGGCACTGTGGGGAGGGCCTCCTGGGAGGAGCCTGCAGAACCTGAAGGCCCCATATGAGAAGCCAGGGTATGAGCTGGCCAGCGGCTACAACAGGGGCAGCCTGGGCTGGTGGGGTAACCTGATCGATGGCACGGCTGTGGCTGGAGTCCTGGGTGGCCGGGGCAGCAGGTGGCAAATTGCTAAGCCTGTACTCGGCAGCGGCAGGAGGAAGCCTCAACAGGGACAGCACAACCAGGCTGAGAAAAGTTAGGATGGTCAGCTTCAGACAGCAGACCCGGGGCAGTGGACATCAGGCCCCAGCTGTGTCTCTCTCAGAAACGGTTGTGCAGTCGATATTTGAGCCTGACCCAGCTCTGGGGTCAGTGAATAGCACATGTGTCTCTAGGGGAAAGGTTGAGCCACTGTAGGCACTGGGAGGAGACCACAGAGGTCCTGGGGACCTTGGTCACCCCCATCTTCCTCTCTTACCCCTGCTCTTCCTTTCCTGAACATGCTGCCAAGAGGAGGAGGGGGCTGTTGGTTCAAAGCCTCTACCACCACCATGCAGCAAGCATTTACTGGACACCTTCCATGTACCATGCCCTGTGCAAGACCAATTGAGATGCAGCCTGAGGACTCAGGCCTTCAGCTGTCCAGTGGGGCAGATCTGCAGCCAGAGTCAGGGGAGAGTTGGGAGCCCATGGCTGCTTGCTGCTCACTTTGGGCAAGTTTCTTCACCTCTGCAGGCCTGGGTTAGCTTTGCCCATCTGTAAAATGAGGCCAGGCACTAGCAGACTCCAGGACATGCAAATGGAACGGGTATAGGCCAAGGCCAATGAGGCCTGCAATGCCAACCCTCTCCAGCCCATTCCCAGGTCTTCCTCAGCTCTGGAATGCACTTCCTCCCTTCCCTAGCCCCTAGACAAACCCCTAGGGTGTTGGAAAGCAGGGGCGGAGACCAGGCAGGCCTCCCATACATGGGAGGGGCAGCTGTCATGTCAGGTGAAGGCAGGGCTGGGAGGTGGGCATGGGTGCTGCCGAAGGCAGTTTCTCCTTGTCTTCTGGATGCTGTCCCAGTGACTCACAGCTATGGCAGCTCGGCCGTGCCCCTGCCACTGTCACTTCGGCCTGCCTCCCCATTGCGATCAGAGCCTAAGAGAGGAATGCTTGGTTCCTCGAATCCAGCTCTCCCCTGTTCAGAAACATGGAACCAGTAGGTGCTTCTGTACCAATAGGAGAACTCCAACTCTGATAGTGGGAAAGGCTGCAGACTTACCACTTATTGTACCCATAAAGAGACAGCTCCAAGTGGGAGCAACTTGCCCCAAGTCACAGCAGGTCGGTGATTCAGCCAGGCCTCCCCGCCTAAAGACTTCAGTCCCTAAATGCCTCCCTTCACCAGAGGCCAGGGCCCAATCCAGCCAGACCTGACCCACTTAGCCAGATAGGGAGGAAAGAGGCCTAGAGGAGGATAGGCCAGTTCTGTGCCCCCATTTCTCAAAGGGAATGGGGCACCTACACTTATCTAATCATCCCAACCTGTGAGCAGAAAAATAGCCAATATTAGGTTCAACTCCTTGTTCTCTCTACGAAGGGCACAGTGGCCTCAGAAACACGGACCTGGCCCACCGCCAGTAGTTGGGCTCTTGGCGCCCCCTACAGGCCAAGAGTGACAAGGTAGGACTGGCTCTATAGGAGACCCCTTCCCTCAGCTGGCAAAGCAGGGATGAAAACAGGGCTGAAGCCAGATGTCCCACTTCTGTGTTTACCCATCTGTCTCTTGCCATATTCTCACCCTGTCTCCCCGCCAAGAGGTTCTGGCCGCTGCCTAGACTGGTCGGGATGCTCTCAGTCTGTGTACACCCCACAGAATCTAGGGAGATAGTTCAGTCAGTAAAGTGCTTGCTGTGCAGGCATGAGTACCTGAGTTTGATCCCCAGCACCCATGTAAAAAGCTGGGCTTGGTAGAGAGGACAGGAAAGGGCTGGAAGGATCCCTGGAACACTAGAAATATAGGGGGTCCCAGGGTAGGTTGATCTGCCTGGCCTTCCATTGGCCTACCAGGGCTACCAGGGACAGCTCCAGAGGTGCCCAGGGGAGCCAGGTGCATCAGCACACCCAGTAATGTTTGTTCCTCAGAGCAGCCCTTTGGAATAGCAGCCATGACTCCATTGTGGATAAGGAAACCAGACTCAACCCCATAGCTAGGGGATGAATAGATCTTCTCTGGGGGCCAAGACCATCGTGCAGACAGAAAGTATCACAGATGCTTACTCAAGACTGTTCTCCAGGCTAGTTAGTGGCCTCCCTGCACCTGGGAACACGCAAAAGCTCAGATACACACCAAGCTACCTGAGGTGGGGCCCAGGCACCTGTACTTTCCACAAACTCCACAGAGGTTTCCAACATACATTCAGATTCAAGAACCATCCCTAGTCTAAACCGCACGTCTGACGAGCTTGCACCTTTCCAAGGTCCAAAAAGCCCACCAACTGCACCTTGCACAGTATGCTATGGCTGAGCAAACCCAGGTCCCAGAAGCTTCTGTCCGCACTGTCGATGTCAATCTCTGAGTCACATAAAAGCTACCAAAGGCTGTGAAGTTAGACAAAACCAGACTCAAGTCCTGCTGTACCTCTCACTACTGTGTAACATGGGCACACACGGCAATCTACTTGTCTGAGCCTCATTCTTCTCTTTGAAATGGGGGATCCTGTTGAAGACGTGGCTGTTTAGGTAGAGTGGCCTAGCATGTACCAGGCCCCAGAACCGTGGTGGTACATGACTGTAATCCCAGCACTGGGGAGGGTGGAGGCAGGAGGATCAAATGGTCAAGTTAGTCCTTGGCTGCATAGTGAGCTCAAAGCCAGTGCATGAGACCTTGCCTCAAAAAAAAATAATAAATAAAAAATAAAAGGTGTGGGGTAATAGTCAATAAAGTACTCACTGCAGAGGCATGAGAACCTGAGTTTGGTTCCCAGCACCCATGTAAAAAGCCAGACACAGTGGTACACACTTGTGATCTAGCACTGGTGGATCCATGGGGCTCACTAGATTCCACCATAGGGCTTACTAGACTCCGCCTAATCAGTGAGCTCCAGGCCAATGAGAGATCCTATCTCAAAAAAACAACAAAACAAACAAACAAAAGATGGGAGGGGGAGGGGGATGACTTTTTAGGAACAACACCCAAGGTTGAGCCTCTGATCTCATGTGCATGCACACATATGTGCATGTACACCCACAAAATGTGGGTTTAGGCCTGCAAGGTAAAGGCACTTGTTGCCAAACCTGACATCTGAGCCCAATCCCTGGAACCCACATGGTAGGAGAGAACCAATTCCTGCCAAATGTCTTCTGACCTCCGTACGTGTGCCATGGCACACGTACACACACACCCATGAAAACATATACTGACTAAATAAATAAATGTAAAAACTGGGGCATTATTGACCTGTTGAAATTAAATGAAATAATATACTTAGCCCAGTCTTAATTAGATTCCATAAAACAGCTCTTATCATTGCTATGAAAGTTTTCCATACTTTAATAAGACTTTCTGTGTACTTTCCAATTTGATGACTGTCCATTCATTCATTCATTCATTCCCTCATTCAGTAAACATGACAAGGTCTTGCCCCATTGTCAGATTTCACACACAGATTCCCAGTCCTAGAGCTAGGAGAGAAAGGTTTGTCCCTAGATCTGGGGAGGAGTCAGTCCCCAGAATTCTGGGTGAGGGAAAAGGAAAGGAGGCTCTGCATCATGTCCGACCCCTTCTCCCCAGGTACCTGGCCAAGCTGTCCTCGGTGGGCAGCATCTCTGAGGAGGAGACGTGTGAGAAGCTCAAGGGCCTGATCCAGAGGCAGGTGCAGATGTGCAAGCGGAATCTGGAGGTGATGGACTCGGTGCGCCGTGGCGCCCAGTTGGCCATTGAGGAGTGCCAGTACCAGTTCCGGAACCGGCGCTGGAACTGCTCCACACTTGACTCCCTGCCCGTCTTTGGCAAGGTGGTGACTCAAGGTGAGGAATGTGTGTAGCAGGTACAGGAGGCCAATGTGCAGCCCCGGGAGGCTGGGGAAAGACACTGCAAGAACCAGGCTAGTTGGAGACAGTTCAAGGACAGAAGCAGCATAGGGCCTGAACAAGCGAGCAAACCACCATGGAGAGTCACTGGGTAGGGACAACCCAGACGGAGCTGAGGGCCACCTCACTGCTGCTTCGTGCTCACAAGGCACTCCATAGTGCAGCTGGTATGGGAGGAATATGAGCTAGAATGGTCCTTATTTTCCAGAGGAAAATAGCTTGGGCAGAAACAAGACTGCTGCTCTTGTCTCCTCAGATGACGAACCATCAGGCTTCAACCCAGGACTCCCAATCCCAGCCTGGTGTTGTCCTACCTTTGCACTCAGCCTTGGGTCCTAGAGCCCATTCATGGACTTGCCCATCTGACAAACCCATAGAACACTTCCACATTAGCGAGCAGACAGTTCACCACAGCACATCAGGAGCAGCCCACACACCTGCAGCACTGACCATGGGCCAGGCACTGTTTTAAGTGTCTGTAAGAAAACATTAACTCATCGGCCCTTTGAGACAGGCTTCCATGTTACAAGTGCAGATTTGGAGGCATAAAGCAGTTAAGTAACTTGCCCTTGGGACACAGAAGTAGAAATCAGTGGGGCGAGAGTTCCTGTGCCTGGGCAGGGTCTGCATGCACACTAGTAGTGAACACCAGGAAGGACAGGACAGGAAGTTGGATGTCTCTCCTGGCCAGGACTAGGGTGCTCAGGGAAGACTTTCCCAAGGTTGGCCCCCAGCTGAGACCAGAAACATGAGAAGAAGGTATTATACCAAACGGAGGCAAGCCAGGCCCAGAGAGGGTTCTACAGAACTACAAGGTTCCTTGAGGCACTGGGTCAGGCCCCTGCCCTCAAGGAAGCGCTGTAAGCCAGCTGCCTTGTTCTGCTTCCTGGCCACAAAGCTGATACTTGGGAGCCACCAAGTCAACAGGACCCTTTGACTTGCTCAGGCAGCAGGAAGGTTGCCTGGGCCAACCTTTGTCTTGGCACCTGTGGGCCTGTACGGCCGAGGCTGCTGGGTTTGTGACAGACCATTTGAATGCTGTTGGAAACCAACTGTGATAGAAATTTGGAAGCCATTCTCCTGGGAGCTGGCAGGGGCTGACAGGCATGAGCACACTTGGCACTGCTGAACCGTGCTGCTCTCCGAAAGAGGCAGACACCCGGTGAGCAGTCGGGTGGATGAAGAATGTCACAGGGTGATGGTACGGCTACCCAGGGCTCAGAGCTGTGTTGGTGAGGCCCCAGAGCCAGTCTGACTATAGATATTGGGCTTAGGAAACCCCTCGCACACAGTAGGCATTCAGCAAGTGTGCTCTAGAGGGATCGGCAGATGGATCCTTGGAACTTCCAAGCTGTCACATCCCTATGCCTTTGCACACGCTGTGTTCTCTTCTCCAAACGCCCAAACCCTTCTCAAGCAGCTAAGCTGTCCCTACCTACCCCTCCCTTCCTGTTGTCTCTAGTCTTTTCCTCTGTGCTCTAAACCTCTGTGGGATTGTTTGTTTCTTTGGAAATACTCTTACTATGTAACACAAGTTGTTTCTCCTTGAACTTGCTATGTAGCCCAGGCTGGCCCTAATCCTTCAGCCTCTGCCCTCCCAAGTGCTGGGGTTACAGGCCTAAACTACCATGTCCCACCAAGCTCTATGTTCTTGACAGAGGGATCATTTTTTGTAATTTTTTGTTTTGATATAATTTCATTCTTATGGAAAAGTTGCAAAAATAGTAAAATTCCTAGATGTTCATTACTCGATTCACCAACTGTGGACATTTTAGCATATCTGTCTTACAACTATTTATATAGACATGCACACTTTTTTGTGGGAGCCATCTGTGCCCACATTGCGTCTTTACACCCCCACACCGAAGTGTGAGGACTCCTCGCCCAACCTCCTCTTCCATCACTGCACCCTGAGCTCCTCTCCCAGGCAATGGAGATGACGCATGTACCTGTTTCCTGGCACACTGCCACGCCTTGCCTGGAGGACAATCAGTGGGTGACAGCTAGTGACAGAGAGCAGATCAGAGGCAAAGATGAGGAAAGAGGAGGCAAAGTCAATGGGGAACCAGTGGGGGCCTCAGCAACAGTGCCTTCCTCACCTGTGGACCTGTGGGCAGAACTAAGGAACAGCCCTGCCAGCAAGTTCTGGAGGACCCAAGAATCCTACTAGACCTAGTGGAAGCTACTCTGAATTAGTCAGAGTGGCCTGGGGGAGCATCCTTTGCCCTTGGAGCTAAGTCAAGGCACCATGAGACTAGGGCAGTCACAGCAGGCAGACACCAGTCACATCTGGAAAATGAGTCTTGAGTTTTTCCCACACGCCCACCTTCCTCTGCTTTGTATCTGTTTTTCTTCGCTAGTAAAATTCCTCTTGGAACACTTGTCAGTGGTCTCCACTGAGCCAGGGGAAAGGGGGCTCATCCCTCAGAGGCCAGAGAGCAAAGGACTGGCTCTGGGAGACCCATGGGTTTCAGGAAAGCAAAGACAGGCAGGCTCGGGCAGGTAATTTCACTCTTCAGAGTTCTTACCTGTTGCGTATATAACTATTAGAGCTGTTGCCAAGATTCAGTGATCTGGGCAGGGAGTCCTTCATGTAAGTCTGACCTGAGAAGGGCAATCCATCCTCAAGTGGCTGTCCTCTTCAGCAGTGACTGCCTGCCTAGCAGGACTCTTACCCTCAGCTCTCAAGAAGGGGGACTCAGAAGGCATCTTCCACATGAGAAGCCTGGCTGGGGTGGTGCCTCAGGCATAGAAGAGGACAGAACAGATTCCTCCCTTGGATCTGGGCCATACCCAGTGAAGACTGTCATTCACTGAGGGCCTACTGTGTGCTGTCTCACCTCAGATCACTCTCATGACAGCTGTGAGCTTATGGCATCCCCAAGTCACACCTGAGAAGGCTGAGGGAGCTGAGGATGCAATGGTCCAGATCCTGGCCCAGCCAGCCACAAGACCTCAGCCTGGGTCCATGCCTCTGTATGACTTGCTAGCCTCCTTCCTAGACTGTGGGGACAAATCCAGGGCCCACCTGTTGAGAGTCCCATGAGAGTACAGGGAAACCATAAAGCTGTGCCTATTCCCAGCCTCCATCGGACACCCACCTGGTACTCAGGGGTTTACCAGGTCTGGTGCCTCCTGCCAGCCCAACTCAGTCTCAGCCAGTTCTTTTTGAATATTCCTTCCTGCTTGATTAGCTTCCCTTCCATCATCACCTGGAGAGATGTCACCATGGAGTGCTCTGTGGAGCCCAGGCCTCAAGTCACACAGGCTTCCATTCCAGTTCCCAGCCTGCCATTTGCTGCTGAAGGATCCAGGCAAGCCAGTGAGCCTTGGGTTTTCTTCAACAGAGCAGGGCAGCAGACGACCCATTGCTAAAATTGTCACAAGCCCTGGTCAGCACATGGAAAGCCCCCTGTACACAGTGGTCCTTAGAAATAACTGCTGTTGGATCTGCAGGACTGCTCTGAACCCCAACCCCAGGCAGCCTTAGCCCCTCAGAAAAGATGACATTGAAGCTGAACCCAAGGGACACATAGGGCTCAGACTCTGTGAAGCTAAGGGACAAGGTACTCTGGGAAGAAGACCAGCAGGAAGGAGCTGGGTGTGGGAAGGGCAGAGAGCAGGGTGAAAGGGAAGAAGGCTGTAAAGCAGTGGTGGGCACAGGAGGAGTGGCAGGACAGGAGAAGGCGGCGAAGACACCTTCCTCCTGCAGCTAGAAGACTTCAGGGTGAATGAAGGACCTCCCACCTCTCCAGGGACACTCTGCTACTTCTAGGCCCCCACAATGCCTTTCTGTCTGAGAAACCTCTGAGGAAGGCAGGCCCTGCCTAGTCTTCCTCCAGAGAGCAAAGCTCCAAAGGCTCCAGCCTGGGTACCTGGAAAGCAGTACAGAGCCTCAAGGACCACACTACTGGAGCCAAATGGCTGGGACTTAGGCTCAGTCAAAAAAGATTGGTTAGTGCACATCCTCCAGGGCTCCAGGGACATCCTATACCAAGATAACTGGGCTTGCCCTGCAGCAAATAAAATCTAGGTGGACCCATGGAAACCCTCTTGGCTTCATACACAGCTAGTGGGAGATGGACCACATATACATTCCCAATGTTTAAGGTCTCTGAGGCAGAACAATGTCAAGGTGAAAACTCTGGAGCCAGGCTGAGTTCAAATTCTGACTCCGTTCCTTCCTAGCTGGACAAGCTGCTTCACTATTCAGTGCCTCGCTTTCCTTGTGTAAAATGAGGACAAAGATCTTCTAGGGTGCTGTGAAGGCAACTAAGCTAATACACATAGGTGCTCAGATGGTGCACACAGTAGGCTGTCTGGAAGCTGTAGCTTTTGTTAATTCCTGTCATCCACGGCCTCTTCCTTCAGGGCCACTCACAAGCTGAGATATGGTGGCCTTAGTCCCCTGAGGCCAGGACAGTGGGGTCTTGGAATCCCTGGAGATTAATGTTTTAGAGAATGAGGCAGTGGTCTCCCTAAGCAACCCCAAAGGAAAGCCTGTACCCCAAGAACCTCTAGCACCCAGGGGTAGAGGTGAAGGACAGCCAGGTTGGGCTAAGGCTGCCTGAGCAACAAGAAAAATAGAAGAGAAAGGACCAGGCAGGGCAGAGAGCTGGTGCCCACCAGTCCCATCAGCCCTATCTCCTGTCATTTCCCTCCCCCCTTGGTCTTTGGGGCAAAGATTTGTGCTGGTTCAGGCCTGGAAATACCAGAAATACCAGAAACTGAAGTTGTCTCTCTTTGGGCGGCCACAGCATAAAACCAACCAACATGAGCCTGCTATTAACCTCAATTAACTTGGAGAAGATTCCACCCCAGGCTGTCGAGGCTCCATTGCTCCAGCCAAGCCCCTCAATGCAAGCCCAAAATGACCAAGCAGAGAGTGGGCAGTGGAAAGGGTGGTGGGTGGTATTCCTAGCTTACGGACTACACCAAGAACAGGGCATCCTGAGTATCGGGGGCTGAGCTGCCTCCCACTCCAGTGCCTGGGCTGTCCACAGGCAGGCACAGAGGAGGTGATTGTTCCCCTCTGACCATGGTGACTGCTCCCTGGGGCAGCTGGGAGCACAGGCCTGGGTGTCGCAGATGTAATTGCCAACCATGAGGCCAAAGCCTGCCCCCACCACTCTTGTGAACACAGACCCCGCAGCAAGAGACAGAAGGACAGTCACAGCACACAGAGGCCCTCAGAGGGCCTCAGAGAGGAGCAAGTCCCACTGTCTGCTCACACACCCAGCCAGCACGGGCGCTCTGCTCACACACTGCCCCAGCTCACCCCCAGAAACAGTCTCCACAACAGCTACACCCCCAGGCACAGTTCCTAGGAGGATAAAAACATCCATTCAGGCTGGGGAGGAGGGCCGGCACCAAAATAGAATTGCTGAGCAGCCACGGGCAGGAGGACGGAACCACTGCAGAGCAAAGGCAGGCAGACCTGTGCTGCAAAGTCGTGCTTTGCAGGACTGTCAACCTCCTGGCTGTGTGACCCAGATCAAACCCTTCCCTTCCCAGAACCTGCAGGGCCTCTATGCCCTTGCATCCACTGGGAATGGATGGCGCTAGCAGGGGACAGAGGGCTTGAGTGCAACAGGCTCTCTTAGTCAACAGCAGGGGCTCAGTACTAGGAGCTACTGTTACTAGAATTTGCTCTTCAAGTCTTAAGGAAGATGGAGACATCATGAGCTCAGGATTCAGCCTCAGAGGAAAGGCCAGGGCAAGGTCACAAGGGAAAGCCCCTTAAAGTCCAGTGACCAGCTGGAGAACAGGCCAGCAAAAGGAGCAAGCTGGAAAGACAGTATGGCTATACACCTCCCAGCTTCCTTGTTCTTTCATAAAACTACGTGACTATGGCTTGTCTTCTGGAAAGGTCATAAGGACAGTGTTCCCCGGGAGCTGAGCACACAGGCCCTGAAGCTGCACTGTCTCCTGGCTCCGCCACGTGCTGTGTGACAAACCACCAAACCTCTGTAAAATGGGGATGACCATAGTTCTGGCCTCACGGGGTTGTTGGGAGGATGCACTGGTCCTCACATGTGGAGGTGTCTGGACCACAGTAAGGAGGTTCAGCTATTAGTGTGACCAGAACAAGGGCCCTCTCTGTGCCTCGCTCTCAGGATTTCTACCTGCCTTGTCCCCCCTTGACCTCTAGCACATCAGCAGGCTCCATATACCTGTCCCTTTTTGCAGTGAAGGTGCAGACTCAGAGCCCTCCCTCTGCCTCCCACAGGGACTCGGGAGGCGGCGTTTGTGTATGCCATCTCTTCAGCAGGTGTAGCCTTTGCGGTAACAAGGGCGTGCAGCAGTGGAGAACTGGAAAAGTGTGGCTGTGACCGGACGGTGCATGGGGTCAGCCCACAGGGTAAGCACGTAAGAACAGGCAGTCAAGAGGGCGGGCAAAGGCCTGGCTCCAGGCCCACACTCAACTCACCTCAGCCCTCTCTATGCCCTCGCACCCTAGGCTTCCAATGGTCAGGATGCTCGGACAACATCGCCTATGGTGTGGCCTTCTCACAGTCCTTTGTGGACGTGCGGGAGAGAAGCAAGGGGGCCTCCTCTAGCCGGGCCCTCATGAACCTTCACAACAACGAGGCTGGCAGGAAGGTAGTGTGGCACCAGTCCCAATGGCACTGGGTAGGACAGCATGGGGAGGTCCCTAATACAGTCCTACACACAGAGCAATTCAAAGAGTTCTCGAAGTGTTCTCACTGGGCACCTGGTTGGGGGGGGGGTGTTACACAGCAGTGTGAGTGGCTTCATCCATACATGTGGGTGCATCCAAGCCTGTCATGGCTTCTATGACAAACATTAGAGCTGGGATTTGAACTCTCTGACCACCCAAAGATCACACGCTTACCTGTGACACCACCAGCCTTCGCGATGCCTCCTTCCAAGGTCCTAGTGGAGATTCAGCAGAGGTGTGCTTCCCCATTGGGTCACCTGTCACTGTATCCTGTCACTCCAAGTACCCAAAGTGCAAGGACAGCATTTTCTCCATCTGCCCCTAGTACTGCTTGCCAGCCTAGTATAGCATCCAGTAGGGGCTTAGTTTAGAGGAAGCACAACAGTAAAGCTTTCTGATTCTGCGTCAGCCCTGATATGGTGTGCCACTTCCACCTACCCCTGTTGGTCCCCAGGGGCCCCTCCCCAGCCTCCATCACCATCTCTGATCATTCCTCTCACCTCTTCCCCAACAGGCCATCCTGACACACATGCGGGTGGAATGCAAGTGCCACGGGGTGTCAGGTTCCTGTGAGGTAAAGACATGCTGGCGAGCAGTACCGCCCTTCCGCCAAGTGGGCCATGCACTGAAGGAGAAGTTTGATGGGGCCACCGAAGTGGAACCTCGCCGTGTAGGCTCCTCCAGGGCACTGGTGCCACGTAACGCACAGTTCAAGCCACATACAGATGAGGACCTGGTGTACCTGGAGCCCAGCCCGGACTTCTGTGAGCAGGACATACGCAGTGGTGTGCTGGGCACGAGAGGCCGTACATGCAACAAGACGTCTAAGGCCATTGACGGCTGCGAGCTGCTGTGCTGCGGCCGTGGCTTCCACACGGCACAGGTAGAGCTGGCTGAACGCTGCAGCTGCAAGTTCCATTGGTGCTGCTTCGTCAAATGCCGCCAGTGCCAGCGACTTGTGGAGCTACACACGTGCCGGTGACTGCGTCCAGCCTGTGCCCAGCAACCACCTACGCGGCCCAAGGAAGGCCAATAATTTAAACAGTCTCCCACCACCTACCCCAAGAGATACTGGTTGTATTTTTTTTTTGGTTTGGTTTGGTTTTTGGGTCCTCATGTTATTTATTGCCAAAAACAGGCAGGCGACCCCAAGGGCACCAACCAGGACCTCCCCAAGCCAGAGCCTTTGTGGCTGCCACTGACCAAAGGGACTTTATTCATGCCTCTGGCTGTCCACATGTGACCACTGCTGACCTCTCAGCTGTTATCAGTGTCCATTTTTTCATATGCAGATTCAAAAGTGGATAACAAGGAGTGACTATGGACCCCTACCATCCAGAGAGGCTGGTTGCCCCATGGCAGGGGCAACAGGTGCCATCTTGAATTCTTGTCACCTTGAAGTATAGGAGTTTGCCCCTCTCTGCCCTATACATATACAAATTGACCCCTGGCAATTTGAGCCTGGAAACCCTGGCTCTTAAAACTCCCTAGAAAGGGAATGGCCAGATACTAGGTCAAAGGCAAAGGGTTCCCTTCAGCCCTCACTTGAGCAGCTATGTTCAACTTCTGTGGCACCTTCCAGGCAGGTGTACGGGTGAGGTGAGAACAAGAGGGCTCAGTCCCACTACAGAGGTCAGCTTGCCTCAGTCGCCCCCTTGGAAGGGGAAACTGCCCCTACTCAGCATCTCCTAGTCAGGGTTGGGCTGCCATCCTGAATCAGATCCTAGCAAGTCACACCCACATGTGAGTCACCCTTCAGTGCTGTCCTCTGTGAAGCTGAGACTGGAAATGTCACAGAGAGACAGGAAAGGGCTGTGCAAAGAGATTCCATCCCCGATATCTCACTCACTTAACAAAACCTATTGAGCAAACACTGTGCCCTAGGGCCTGTCCTGGGATATCTCCCTTGATTACATTAGTCTTGGGAACAAACATCAAGGCACATATCCTCTTTACAAGAGGCAGCCATGCCCATCAGCCCCATAAGAGCTAGGCAGAGACAGAGCCAGGCTCCTCCTTGGCTCTGTACCCAAAGGCAGAGATACTGCAGGTCTCCTTGAGACTGAGCAATAGGAAGGGGGCTGTAGCTAGAATAAAAGGTATAGGGAGGCAGCAAGAGCCAGAGATCACAGGCTGGGCTAGAGTCCACATGGCTGCAAAAGGTTAGATAATAGGCTGGGAAAAGGGGAACAGCTGGAAGGCTGGCCAGTAGTCTCAGAAGCTGAGGTATCTCCATCCCCAAGTTCTCATGGCCTGGAGGCCTTAGGTACTATGAGTACTGCAAAAGAGTCCCCCAGAGACAGCATCAGCAGCCAGTGCCTGACCATGTGCATTAACCAAACTGTCAACCTAGCTCAGCTGTCTGTGAACAGGACACGCACAGACACAACTGCTTCTCAGGTGGGTTCCTAATCCTCAGAACTTGTCAGCCTGGTCTCTAAACTGCTCCCACGTTAGGGCTCCAAGTTTGAGAGCTTGAGCTCTTAGGATCACCTTTGGGGGTCTGAAAGCCCAAGCTCTTGGCTGCTGGGTTGTGTGAATGCAAAGTTCAAGATTCTGAATATGGCCTCAGGCCTGCACAAACTCTACTCTGGGCCTGTGGTCTGTGCCTCTTGGCATTGGCTCCCTCATGAAGAGGGTCAATACCCTTGGCCCCCAGCCAAACTCTCTGCTCATGGCCCATTCAAGGAGGAAGTCAAAACCAAGGGAGATGCTGGAGTCACATTCAAATGCAAGAATAATCCTGGGCAAGCTGGCTCTGATGTGGATGAAAGCTGAGCTGACCAAGGGTCTCCACAGCTGCCCAGCTGGGCCCCCTGCCCCTCTGGGGGACTTAGTTCAGCTGCCTTCCCAGCACCAGGGAAACTACTACCCCTCTCCAGCAGAGCCAAATCCAGTAAAGGAAGCAGTGGAGTTGTCCCCTCCAGAAACAGTTGCACTATGGGAGCCATGGGTCCAGGCTGCTTACTGATTCAATGGACACTGTCCCAAGAAGGTGGGTACCTGAGCTCCTCAAAACAGATCCTCTTAGAGTTCTGCAGGCTGTGACCAGGTGAATCAGACCACGAGCTAGGAACCACTGCCAAGGCCCAGTTCCAATCTATCTCAAATACGAAGAGCTGACACAGCTCACCATACTTGGTCACACAGCACCCAGGAAGCTGGCCAGAAGGTTCACATCCTACCTGAACCATTCTTCACTGTTCTTGTCACAAGGCAAAAGTGGTATCCTCTGAGGCCAGGGCTGGATAAACCCCAGCTCTGGATGCTGCTACCCCACTCTGCTGCCCTGCCCCATCCTCCAGTTTTTATACAAGGCTCTTTGGCATTGTGATGTCCCCGTGGCATAGTCTGATGCACGATAAAATGATTATTTCTTTATCTGGCAATTGTAGCTGTGACTTTTTTTTTTAATAGAAGACTTGGACATGGATAACACAATTACTATTTGCTAAATTAATATTTATATGGTGCTATTACTCAAGCAAATTCTAGATATGGAACTCCCCTATCCCCCTTGACTTGTTTCATCTGAAGAACTAGTTTGAGGCCCATGAGGACCTGCTGCTCTGAAATCACACCATCAACACAGAGGCTCGATCTACACTTCGAGCCATAAACAGCTATTTAAACTTTGCCCTGACTGAGTTGATCACACCTTTCAAGTGTTGGTGTGGGGATGTGGAGCTTGGCTAGGCAAGTGTTGATGCAGGACATGAGACAATGGAACAGAACTGGATTCCTATCTTGAAACAAAGGAACCCAAGGCCTGTGGCTATAAAGAATTCTAGCAATATAACAGGTCAGAATAGAGCCAGGATGGAGTACTTCTAATAACCCGACAAAAACCCTCAGCCAAAGCTCCTTGCAATAGTGGAGACTCTGGGTGGCTTCCAGCCTCTCCCCGCTGCCCCCAATTCTAACTTGCAAAGTCCTCATCCTTTCCAGAGGAGCCCAGGGCCTATCCCTGCTCACACTGATGACACAAAGACACAACAGCTTGGGGACCGTCAGGCTGTGTACTTGGCTTTCCAAACACCTGCTGCCATTAGGGAATGAAGGAGTGTTTTCAGGATAGCAGGGGCACATGCACCTGTGTGAAGAACAGGCAAGACGAGGTCAGGGGCTGGGATGGACAGAAAAGGTCACTTCATCCTCAAACCAGTGTCAAAGCCAAGAAGGGAGGCTAGTGATATGGAGGACCCAGGATGCAGAGCAAAGGGGAAGGTACCCCAGCCCAGCTACTTCCTAGCACTGAAGAAGCTACAGGCTCTGACCCCTGACTGGGCTTGTCTGAATCCCTGTTGCCAGTTCTTCACTGGATGGAAACTTGGACACCTCACTGAACTTTCTGGAGCTCATTTTCTCACCTATAACATAGGGCTTCCTACAGACCACACTTTATGTTAAGCTAAATGACAGAACCTATTTCTTGGAGATGTTAATTTAAGAATGTGAAGCTGAACAAATGATAATCCTAAGCACAATTATCATTCTTTCTCAGGTAGACAAGGTGGAGGATGCTGGAAAGGGAGATGAAAAAAACAGGGAAGCAGAGATGGTATGGAACAGGTTAGGAGCTGAGGCAAGTACCCTAACCTTGTCCCCATCCCAGACAAGAGGTCAGAAACACACCAAACTCTCAGAGCAGAGACCACTGGGGGTCAGAGAATCCCACGACCAGGACATCAGGGCAGCAGTCAGCAGGCTGGGGCAAAGCTGTCTGAACAGCAGCTGAGGGTGTTGGACACGCACGAACGCACGCACTCTCCCCCATAATGGTCAAGCAAAGGAGCATGGTAGAGGCGGAGGTAGGAATGTCAGGACTACAGGGTAGGTAAGCAGTGCACCCTGAGGGTAGAAGGCTTTCCGGGCCAAGCTGGGTCACATCCTGAGCAGATGTCCTTGGAACTCAGACCTGAAGGTCTCTGGGAGAATATGGAAACACTGAATACAAGCCCTCCACACAAGTATGGAGACACCAGAGGCAGGCACTGTCAGCGATGCTGCGCAAGAGCAAGACCACAGGGCTAGTAAAGGCAGGCGGGAAGTGGGAGACTGACGGGACTAAGATGGGCTAGAAACCAAGTGAGGGAACAGAGGGGTTAGGAGGACACACATGAGGAAGAGAGAGAGGTGTGAGGTGCTGAGGGCCCTGTGGGCAATGGCTAAAATGAGCCCAGCAGCTTCTTAGTAAGAGGAGAAAGAGATTCAGAGAGAGGTGGGGTTGCCTAAGAACGTGGGAGAAGGGTACGGAGCGTGGCCTGGCCTAATCTCATTCAAGTGATGATTTCATAGGCATCTCCCCCCATTTCTTCCTGAGCCAATACTGATGACCCCCTATCCACATCGCAAGGGTCTAGGCCGAGCAGGCGTTGACAAGGGAGAGAAAGACGGGGACTTTCTGGGCCAGGACCCCATGGCTGGCATAGTGCCGGCTTAAGGGGGAGGAGACCTAGAGGCCCAGCCCTTGTCAGCATCCAGGCCGGCACTTCGGAGGCAATTAGCAGCCCAGCTGAGCTAATCCCCCGCCTGGCAGGGCCAACACAAACAGGCCCAGGCGGGGTGTACACTCGCCTCCCTGTTTGCTGAAAGGGTCGGTGGTCCGCCAAGAACAACATTAGTAACCCAGGGCCTTCTCTAGGTTAAAAGCAGGACCGGGCCTTGCTGAAGGGCTGACAGTACCCAACAGAGCATGCTCAGGCCAGGTGCCCTGGCTGCCCCAGAAAGGCAGCCACTGTTCCCAAGCCTTGGGCCAGCAGGGAAAAGGAAGCTGGACACAAGGAGCCATGCATTCTGATTCAGTACACTCCTCCACACTTCCACCCATGCCACCTGTGATGGAGAAGGCCTGTGCCATCTTGGCTAACCCAACAACTGAGGCCAGTAGGAGCTGGACCCTCCATGCTGGCCTTAGGAACCAAGAGGCAATTCAGACTGGACCCCTGCCTTCAAAAACCTCACCAACTAGCAAGAGAACAGATTGGACCCTGGAGCACAGCCGAAACCTAGCCCTATCAGCATCCTCCTGATCTGGTTAAATCCCCAAGACAAAAGGCAAAGGGGGACCCATTAGAAGAAACAGAGACCCCCAGATGGGCAAATGGAGGAGACAGTGCCCAGGAAGACTGTCACAAACTGGCCTGCATCAGGGAGTAACCATTCTGTCAGCTTAATCAGCTCAGCTCAGCTCAGTTCAGTAAGCACTAGGATGGACAAGCCCTTTTGAGACACCCCACTTCTTGATTCCAGGGGGTTCATTTTATCAGCTCTACTAAGCCTGGAGATCTCATCTTTCTTTTCAGCTCCTTATCTACCCAGGGATCCCCTCTCTTTAACACTACCCCCGAAGGGCTCCTGGAAGGGACAATGGACTTTGCATAATGATAGTTTCCTAAAGAAACTAACAGTCATGTCTCTAAGTGAGCCAGGTTCCCTCAGGTCACTGAGCTGGTCATCAGTGCTCAATACCGTTTCCAGAGTTCCTCACCCACTGTGGATCAGGTCCACACTCAAACCTCCATTATCTGTCACAGGCACAAGCAAACAGCTGAACATAAATATTTCCTGTCAGACAAGCCAGCTCAGAGGCAAGTGTATGATTTATCTGTACTTTAGGGCTGAAAACTGAGTCCCGCAGAAGGGGAGAAACATGCTTAAGGACAGAGTCCAAGGCTTCAGGTTTCTGATCAGGTTGCGGTGTGTTACCAGAGCCCTTCCCAGTCCCACCAGACTCTCTAACTCCCCTGTTTGCCAGTGGCCTACACCTACTTTTGATGCTGCCTAGCCAGGAAGCACAAACCCTTGAGCCCACCTTCTCCCAACAACATGGCACTACCTAACCCTGGCTGGGTAGAGGTAAACTCTGTCTCTGCAGGGGAACCTAGGGTTGCTCTACAGACAGCTTTCTCCTCAGGGCAGAAGGTGAGGAGGCTGGAGTCACAGTGGTAGGGCTGACAAAGCCATAGTAGGAACAGCAGTCCTCCATACCCCCTGCCCCAGATGGCATGGCAGACTGCAAGCCCTGCTCCAACCTTGCCAGATAGACTGTCAGGTTCCTGCCCACAGCCCATAGGGACTGACAACCCCTCCTGAGCCACCCCACACCTGGCTCCAGAACATTTAGCCTAGATCAAGGTATAGGTGAGATGAGTCTTTTTCTTTCAGTTTAACCAAACAAGGAGGTAGCTTTCAAAAAACTTTTTTCTGGGAAACTAAAGAAAAACAAACAGTATAAGCACACAGAAACAAGCAGATTCCTCAGCAGGGCCGATTTTAACTGCACCTAACCAGAGCCACAGAGACATGCTATCTTCTCTCAGCTCTGTGGTGAACAGCTTGTGGAACCTGAAGCAAGTCAACAACCTGTAGCTCCTCTAATCTAAAGCCTCTGCCTATGTATTCTCACCCTCCATCTTCCTGGCTATGAGATGACCAAGAGGACTCCTAGGGACACGCTTTATGGACTGGGAAGGGCCACAGGGATGCAGATGATAGTCATCAGCCACTATCCTGGTTCTTAAAAGTCAGGAAGTGTGGAGTGGCACTGTAGGCTCCTGACTACACAAGTTCGGCAGGCACTACGATCTGCTGGGTCTTCCTGCTCCCCTCATCTTCTCATCCCTCCTCCTATTTCTCCCAACACCTCCTGCAGAGTGGAGTTCTTCCTCTCATCCCCTTCTTAGACAGCATCTGGAGCCACCTGGGAGCTTCAGGGATGGCTGATGGTTACCACAGCCAGGACAGGGCGAGTAGCTGCCCTTCTGATTCATCTTGAAGTGACTGAAAGGATGTGAAGCTGCTATGAAGTCAGGCTGATCCAGAAAAGGCTGAGAGCAGGTGTAGATCCAGTCACTCAAGTCAGAAGGGGATAGGAAGAGGGAACCTCAGACACCCTCTTCAAAATAGGCATGGGAGTCTGAGAGCTGAGAGCTCAAAGTGCACAGATCTGGGTGTGCACTTTGAGCTCCACCCTGGCCAGGTGACCTGACACAGGTTAACTCCTGTAAGTCTCAGCCTTCCATCTGGACTATTTCAGAGAGTTTTAATGAGAACTGAACCATAATGTAGGTAGGTGTCCAATAAACAGTTCTCTTTCCTGTTGCCATTTGCCCTGGGTCATGCACTCTCCCCTCCCACTCAGGCCAACGACTGTAGTCAAGACATTTGCTGATGCACTCCACACATGTATCCTGATCTCCTCTTGACTGCAAGACATACTCAACATAGCATGTGACTGCTGGTCCTCAAGTTGCTCAGATGTTCATTTTTAGCCACAGTAGGTCTCAGTCTAGAAAAGGGATTCCACCATGGCGAGGGGAATGGAACCCCATCCAGCATGCCCTCAAAAGTCATACAGCTTACCCAGCAGAGGCACAACT